ATCATACATTTGAATATCGCTGTGAATCAAATCGTTTATTTTTTTTTGTGGAGGAAAAAAACAGTAAACCTCTTTGAACTGTGTGAAAGGTAAAAGAATCACTGCCACCGGTTGTTTTGATGTTAGCGAAAAAAAAATCCCCACCAATTTTTTTCCGCTTCGTTTTTCTTCCGGAGAATATCTAGTTATGCCGACATATTTATCGATTTCGGGTTCCCTAAGAGCTATTTTATGAATATTACATCTGATTAATGCGGATGTTATTAAGATAAACTAAAATTTGCTTTTGTACTATAATTTGTAAGTTCCATTTAACACCGAAAACCATTCGGTCAGGCTGGGAAAAAAAATTGGAGTTTCAAAATGTACCTGAAATATAAACGGTGTCCAAATGGTTTTTGAGGCTTTTGTCGAAATGAACACACGTTCCCAGGTCAATTGACAAGGTGCTCCCCAGTGACGCGCTTTTATTCAATTAATATGGCATATCGCTTGAAAAACGGAACTATACTGAGTACTGACGTAACGTTTCACTCCACTCATCGGCATTACGCTCACATGTACGCAATTCACACAACTATCAACATGTTCGTCCCATCCAATTTAACCCGGTACTCTACTCGATTCTACACAATTCTCTACAACTTACTACATGCATAAATTATCAATCCGAGTTGAAGGCGAATGAAAAAAAAAGAAGAATAGCAACGAAAGGAAGGAGCGAAAACGATCGAAATCAATGCAATTCCAAAGGAGTTCGTAAGCTCATTGGCTTGGCTTGAAATGTTGTCTAAGTTTTCTCAAACACAAATGAACACTTTTCGCAAGTTTTCGGCTGGTGTGTATGTAAAATTATGTTAAGTCACGCAATCCAAGTGTGGAAGTGCTCAAGTTTGTGCCGAGTCATTCGGTAGTATTTTAGGCACAGATCCAGCATTAATTTATGATTCATTCAGAATTCTAATTGGAGTCACACACACATACACACCCAGCCAGTTGAAAGCGAGCGAAAATCTTCTAGAAACGGAAAAGGGAAGAAGACTGAATGAATTTTCGCATCAGTATCTGTTACCTCACTAACAGCATACCATTTACCCATTCATACGGTTGAGGAGCACGTTCTCCATTTAATCGACTTCTACTCTAATGTTCTTTACGTAAGTTTATCGCCTCTTTCGTCGCATTCTTTACTCTTTCGCTGGTTGGCTCTCTCGCTCTCTCTCTCTCTCGCCCTCATCCACACACTCTGTGTGGCAGCAGCGATGGTGGCACAGTTTAAAAATGAAAACCAAATAAATTGATATTCAGTAGGCGGATGTTGCAGTGCAGCTAAAGCTACCAACTGCTGATTATTTTTTGCTCTGTTCACCGTATCAACTGTCATCGTCGTTTGTCAATAGGCTTTGGCAAAATTAAATTTGGTGAATTTAGAGTTGATGGCATTGCCTCTGCTCCGTGTGTGTCTCACCCCATGCACACAAAATTGTGGCACGTATGCCTGAAATATTGCATAAAAACGGAGTTTTGGACAATTCAAATTTATGCTGCTGGAGAATGCCAAAGCGACGAAGGAAAAAGTCAAGAATAAAGTATTTCATCATATGAACTTCCGTTCGTGTTTTCGTGCGCTCTTTGCCTCCTGGCAACTGTTCCCGAAACATTGAAAATGAAGAGTATTTTGTTGCCTCGTTTTTCTCGTTCATTCGCCCGCCGCTATGAGTATATGTGCATAAATAACGGTCGTTTTTTTCGTTCGTCACGCTTTTCCAAAATCATCACCATAACATTTTGAATGGGAGCTTTTGTTTTTCTTTCGAATCTTTCATCACACTTCTACTTCGTTTTCATACTTGGCTGGAGTTTGCGCTTGATTGTCGACTAAATTGTCAAAAGAATAAGTTAGGAAATGTCCTCGAATTGCGCATTCCAACGCACCGAAAAAAAGAAAGAAAGGAAGAAAAAACAAATTCCGTTTGAATTCAAAAGAGTCACACTCACTCTCGCTGTGACTCTCGCACTCACTTCTCGTTTGCACTTTATTTGTTCTGCGTCGTCTGTACGTGAATGTCGATTTCTTTGGGACAAAAAAATACACACACATTTCGAGCTGCTCAAGCGAATTCTCAGTAGACTTTGTTTTATTTTCCATACCTTTCTCTTTTCCTCATGGCATTTCAATCCAGTTTTCCGCTGCTTTTTTTCTGTCTTTCTATCTATCGTTCGTTCCGTCGCCTTTTCCTTCGCTATATATACACACACACACAAAACATGCACGTTTTTCGCCGAGTTCTTCCCCTCTGCGTACCGAAAAAGAAAGAAGTCTGAATTTTTAATAGCGATATAATAAACTTTTATTGCTGCGCTTTCGGTTTCTTTTTTACTTCGAAAAATCATAGCACATTTTTTTTCTGGATACATAAATATGAATTAGTTATATTACATTGCCTTTGGCTATTCAACTTGCTCGTGAATCATTCGAATAAAAAGTGTAAAGCACATTAATCCATGATACTGAAATACTCACTCATTCACTCTAAACACTTCAACTTCGCCTGTTCTTTAGTTTGTTTCGATGCGAACAAACACTTAGCGTGGTCCAAAAAATTTTCATGTCGACTTGTTCGTCTTCCCCGTAGCTTAATCGTTAGTTTGCCTCAAAAAAATAAGATTCAGCCAAAAAATACCTACCTCCCCCAACAAAAACCCACAGCAAATGAAATCCGGGGAAAATCTGTCCATTGGTTTCGAAGGCGATTTTATATTGTAAAATCAATATTCCAACCTAATTTTTGTCACAAACTGCTGCTGGGATTTTATTCAGGGCACTAAGATCTACAACTTTTACCAATTGACTTTTTAAGGTAGCTCCCCAACAAAATATACGTTTTTCATGGATTTTACTATGAAAATATCAATTTTTGTTGGGGAGGTACCTTAAAAAGTCAATTTTGAGAGTTTTTGTCTGGGTAAGCTCCCCATATTTTCGAGAAAAAATAACTTTGTGCCAAGACACCACCCCTAAAAAGCCTATACTTAAGGATTTTTTGGTCAAAAGTTAATTTTTTGGGAGTTGAAATCGAATATGAGGCCAGAAATATGTGAAAAGATCACTCGATTTGGTCATGTAGGTACTTAAAATGTTTGTAAGGGATCATACTAGATGCCTAAAGGCAGAAAAGGTAGATATCGCTTGCTTTTATTTGTCAAATCGAAGCTCGTAGTCGTGATTTGCTCATTTTGGCCTGAATTTTGTCATTTATGTCTGATTCAATTGACACCGAATTTCATCCAAATCGCAATCTGACAAGTACCAAAATATTTGTACAGGTTGTAGCTACACGACACAAGTCAAAAACTGAACAAAAGTTTACCGTCTGGGTGACCCGTAGAGCAAAAAATGCAAAAAATGCCGAAAATTTGCCATTTTTTCGGTCATTTTACGCTGTAACTGGCCCAGAATGCCTTTTCAATGGCTGATGTCTTGGTAAAAGTTGTAGATCTTAGTGCCCTGAATAAAATCCCAGCAGCAGTTTGTGACAAAAATTAGGTTGGAATATTGATTTTACAATATAAAATCGCCTTCGAAACCAATGGACAGATTTTCCCCGGATTTCATTTGCTGTGGGTTTTTGTTGGGAGAGGTAGGTATTTTTTTGGCTGAATCTTATTTTTTTGAGGCAAACTAACGGTTAAGCTACGGGGAAGACGAACAAGTCGACATGAAAAAAATTTCGACCACGCTAACAAACACACAAAAACGTGGAATAGTTTCTCGAATTAAAGTATTCGCTTGCCGCCGATTGTTTATATCGAACAAACAACAACAACAGAGGGGAGCAAAACATTTCCGCAGGCTATTAAAACATGAGCAACGGCCAAAATTCGCTTTACATTCCACAACAACAGACTCTTCTCTATCAATATTTAATCAACATGATGGCGAACTGGGTCGAAAAAATTGCTGACTATAATTGCTATTGTTCTAAATATGCCAAAACGGAAATTAAGCACCGAAATTCCTTTGTCCACCTTGTCATGTTTGTATTTGAACAAGAACAATATGGAATAAATCAATGCGAATCGAAAACGATTGGCGATAGAGTGAGGCAGTGTCTCACTGAGACACTATCACTGAAGGAAGAGTGATAAAGAAAGAGAGAAGTAATGAAAAAGAAATTGAAAGGAAACGAGCGAAAAATGAAATCTGAGGTAAGAGAAACGTAGAGAGAATTTTGGATTTATCAAAGCCGCTTCCACTACAAATTGGACTCTCGTGTTGTACAATCCGATATCTCATTAGATACTCACTTGACGTGTGTATCAGAGTATTTCCGGTGAATTGGCAAAAAAAAAATCGAATCAGTGCCATGATTGACAGATCATCATTGTTTGTCATTTATTATTTTTATATGATAAGTTTGAGTGGTGCGATAGAGTAGTGTCTATGTCGTTATCGCAAACAAGTCTTGAGGCTTTTTTTTCGCAGAACAAAAGACACAACAAGAAGATTGCTTGAAATATTCGTTTCGAAGCCAAATAAATCTTCATCTCAAAATGAATTGGAATGCCTGTGCAGCGGAAAAAAATGTTGACGAATTTCTCAATTGCGACATATTTTTATAATAATGATTCGTTCCAATGAATTCATCGCTCTAGAAATGTCAACAAAATATGGTTCATATTTCATAAAATATCCATACAAATTTGCTATGTCTTGGCATTCATTTTGTTATTGGGTCCTTGAGACAATCATAATTTTCCATTTATTTCTATTGCCATGTTCCATTCATTGTGCTCCTCTTTCGTTCAAGCAAGCCGTATTGACTTTAATGCAATATACGACTTGATAAATATTTATCTTTTCGTCGAAATTGATTGCCATATTGTGTCTCGTTCGGTTTAGTAATTGTTTTTGTAATCGATTTAATGCAATTTAAAGAGCAAGGCTACATTTTAATTTCCAATTGATGTCATTACATTTACTTTGCGTCCGCATCCACATATATACACACAGCGCCTGGATGGTTTCGATATTTAATTATCAATAAATTAGTTTGAGTGGTCACTTGCAGTTAGTGTGTTCATTGCTGTGCTGATAGTTGGTTGGTCGGGGCTTGGTGAAAGGTTATTTATAGAGCACTTCATTTGGAAGAAAACATAGGGTGGAAGCATCAACAAAATTCAAATTGGCGCGCTGTTTAGTTCAGAGAAAAATTACGAAATTACATTGATTTTCCTATTGAAATTGAGGGCGCTCGTGTCGCCACAGTTGTCATTCAAGTCTTAGCTTCCTACCGATGGAAGAAAATAGTTGAGCGAACTATGGAACCAAAGTGGATAGTTTTCATTTTAAGATATTTCGATTGCTGGGGCTTTTGTACGGAGTTTCAAACGACACAAAGAAGATCTGATGAATGCTACTTAGTCATCCTTGTGCTGCACATTGTAATGGATTTCTTTGCTGCCTGGTCAATTGTAGCATTTCTCAAACGACCCACAGACGATGAACTTGGCCATGTCAACGATGTTATCAAGTTGGGTGGTATATTGTTCGTTTGCTTTTTGTCCGTCACTGAATCCTACTTCAAACGGAAACGACAACGTAGATTTTGGCATGTTTTTCAGAAAATTGAACAAAGCTATCGCTCAAGACAATCATTTCGACTACAAAGCTACCTGAAGAAGTTTGCATTCTTTATATTTGGGTCGATAACATCAACGTTGTATCTTATGTTCTACTCATACCACAACGGTTCGCTGTTCATAAACTATCCACATTTCTGGTTTACCTATGAAATTGTGACAAGACAATACCGAAATCGTGTCTTGTACTATTTATTTTACTTGGAGCTAGTTGAAAATGAACTGAAAACGATTGAAGGATTGGCAAGAGATGCAGCACAAAGTAGTCACTGTTCCATGTACAAAATTGACAAGAGAGAAAATAGTGGAAATCAAAGTGATTTGAAACGGATTTTTGAATACTATCAACTAGCATGTGAACTGAGTGAAGAGCTCAATTCAGTGTTTGGTTGGTCTAACGCAGCAACTATTTCATTTTTATTCGGTCTTATTCTGACTGAGCTCAATTGGGTCTACTGGATATGGTACAATCGCTTTGATATCGTCAACATGATTGGTGAGTTAAACTCAAAGTAACGACGTTTATGTTATAAAGAAGATAAACAAAACGCCGGAGTCTCTTTTCAAGCACAGATTACATTTTCTGGATTCTTCGTTTGATGTTCATTACTTTTTGCGTATTTTTCGTGGTGCTCGGTTGCAAAAAGCGGGTAAACGTGCAAAGTTAACTACTCATTGCTAGCAAATTTATTTAATTTGTACTTTAATTAGTAGAAAAAGAAAGTGCTCTATTACATGGGTTCAATTAAGTTCCACTGGAACGACACAAAAACTGCGTCTCAGGTATCACAAGCATAAATGCATTCGGCTGTGCGCAACGTGAACACGATGTTTCCTTTCACAGGTGGAATCCATTTTCTTTGATAGTTTTCATCAGCCCATCACTTTCCACGCCAAAGGATTGTTTGAAATCAGCCAAGAAACTATGCTGCAAGTACGATGAATGGCGGCAATGCATGGCAAACCCTTTTCTACAAATTGAATTAAATCCAAGTTGCACTTTCTATATTTCAGCTCATTAACCGGATTACAATCTACATGACGGTGTTCATTCAATTCTCGCCCATGTATCGATTGTGCTATGCCATGGTCGAATGCTTGCGCATTCGTGGTCCTAAGTCGAAAGAAAATTCGTAAAATGCGAAAATGCGCCAAAAGAAATTCCGAGACAAATTCATTCATTCAAACGAATTCATTGAAATTTTTTCCTCTCTTTTGTAGCGCTGTCAAGCTATCTAGTGGCATTGATTGAATTTCGTTTGGAAATGAAAAAAAAAATCGAGCTAAATATTTTGGATCGCAATAAACGAAGCACCCAATGACGTGTGATGAAAAAAAATTGCTCGATATTTTTCAAGCTTTTTTTCCCTCGACAACATGCATTACAACGTGTGAACAAAATATGAATGGCATTTATGGAAATATTCAATGGAGTAAGAGAAAGAGAGAGAAAAAAACATTGTCGAAAAGCCAACGCAGCGTGTGGTATAATAATATGCTTTTGTACATGCACTTTGCACAATTTAATAAAACACGCTCGGTTTGCACGAAAGCAAACGGAAATGGGAGAAAATGTGCTGAATTTTTACACACACACACACATCCACTGTGCAATTTGTACATTTTGCAAACATTTTACTACAAAATTTGCAAACACAATTTAAATGTTGAATAAACATGCAACGTTTGAGAATGATTAGTTTCAATTTGTAAACCAAACTAATAAAAAAGCGGATAGTATCCTATTTTCCCTTTTTTTCTCCCTCTTTCCTCTCTGTAGCACGAATATCGCAACAAGAGAGTTGATGAACTGCCGAAAAATGCTCCCCAATCGATTATTTGCTATGTCTATTTGCTTCCACCCTCGCATCATGTACAGTATACAATGTACAGTACATCGAAGATCCAAGTCAATAGAGCTTCGATCCACGTTCAAAAAGTTATGAACATGATATATATATTAAAGCCGAAGAAACGAACATGAACATGGAAATGAGAAGAGGAAAATAATGAATAGGAAGAAGAAGAAGAAGAAGTAGCAGAAGTGGAGAATAAATCGCAATTCCAGCAGTAGTGCTGGTGAAATGGCAAACTTTGTTACAAGTTTAAATCGAAATGTCATGAAGAGAGAGAGAAAAAAAAGAACACATCAGAAACCGAACTCAACGAAAACAATACCAAAAATTCCATTACGTATGGATTTACGTTCGTCAAGTTGTTGTTCAGTTTACAATATTTCTCGCTTGCTCATACACTCTTGTGCGTTCCAGTAAGGCACTTGACGTTTTATCAGCCGCTGTGAAAATGAATCTTCAGCATAATTAAAGCCCAATTCTTCATTTTGGTGAAAAGAAAACTGAAGGAGGAGGAGAAAACGAAAAAACAAGAGCAAAAAAAACCGCATTAAACGAATCAGACTTTTGATTCTGTTCGGTAATGGCCTCCATATATGGTTTTAGTGAGTATTGTGCAAAAGAAACGGCAGTCATCATATGATCTATATACATAGATACCGCCAAAAAGTACATATATAATGGAGTTAAACTCATTTAAATTTATCTCGTTGATATGGCTTGCGGTGCTTCTCGTTCTCGTTGCGCAATACGCAACTCAAGACTTTTCATGTGCGAGATTTGTAGGTGAACTTCTGTAGAAAATTTAAATTTCAACAATTCGATTTCCGATGCCATACACCGCATCACCTCTCAATTGTTCCAACATTTTGATCATGATGATTTGAAGCTGCTGCTGCTGCTCCTTGCTACCGCTTCGAACGGTAAAATTCGAAAGATAACATCATTATCGCCTTGGTTGGTGTTGCTACTACTGATGCTGCTGTTGCTCTTGTTGTTGTTTTTGTTATCACAGCACCTCATCATTGTAAATTTTGGTGGCATTTGACTGGTATTCACATCAACCGCTATGGGAAATCAAACGACAGCTTCACATGCAATTTGAACGATTCCTAGTATTTTTTTTTTGCATCACGTTTTTTCATGTGTACAATATTTGACATGCTGAGAAAATATTGTATATCCAATTTTGATTGATTATGTGGAACAGAACGAACGCTCGTACACACATACGCACAGCAACAGTACTTAGCAGCACTTTAGTTGATGCGGTATGTTCGTCAGCACATACTATAGTTTCAAGTATTGGATCTTATCGAAACGGTTCGAATTTCATCCACTTCAAACTTGGCTTGGCCATAAAACGAACAAAGTACTACAAAAAAAAAGAGCAGAGATAAGAAAGTGAGCTCCCAACATTTTCTAGAGAAATTTGTTTTTGTAAATGTGAAGCTTTCAAACAAGTAAACAAAATCGGATCGCAATGAATTTTTTTTTGTATGCTTCACAAACACAGAGAAGGCATAAATGGTACTAATGTTAAACACAACAGTTAACACAACGACTTTGCCGCCGACGAACAGTAATCGCAGGTTTTTGATGCTTATCGATGTTTTATAAAGAGAAGAAAGTCGAATCCGATTACATTTCCGTCCTGTCTAATCAAATGGCAATGGAAAATTCAGTACTGTTTCCCTAGTTCATAGCAGAAAGAGAAGAAGAGGAAGGAGGAAAAAAACGGAAAATGCCGAACCAAAACACATATATTCAATGCACTCATTGAAGTGTCACGAACACACAACCATACGCACATCTAATGTGTGTGGCTGGCTGAGAGTATGATTGTTATGGCACAGCCAAAAGAGATACACAGACAAAGTGCGAGTAAAAAGATTGTAGTCCTGGCAACAGCCGATCCCATCATCATCTTTCGTCTCTATTCACTGTGTGTCTGTACTGTGTATGTATGTTGCCATGGGCTGACTCTCTTTTCTTCAATGTATGCTGGTAGTTGGTACGACACTAAGCCGCAGAGCTTTTGAACTGTGATGGAAAATGAATCCGTGTAAATCAATAAAGCGCGCCGCGCTTCGTTCATCGAATATTTATGCTAGATAATAATAACAATAACAATAACAATAATCGGGAAAATTGCGAATCCATTGTACGTGTGGTAACCGAACGTGAGCATGACACAACAGTGCTTTGTTGTTTGCGTTTTCACCATTTTATGTACACACAACACACACACACACAAAATCACACAGGCCATTGTCAATCAAACGGGGATCCTGTCTAATAAAGACGAGAATGGGAAAACATATAAATAAAAAATAGCAACAAATATCCGTGTGCCACAGGAATATGAACGTTTTATAAATAAAACACACTTATGCCTCTCAAATCATATCCAGTGACACAACACCAAAACGAACAAACGAATCGGGACATGGGACAATGCATACAACATATTTCGCATCAAAACATGTTTCCATGCGTCAATTCTCACATACTGATGTGAACACTCAATGACGATGATGAGCATCTGATGTGTGAGCGAAGAGCCAACGAATAAGTGCGAATAGAAGCCTGTGCTGAATGCATTGCAGCCCATAAAATGCTGAAGCATATAAATTCTATTTAACCGATGCCGAACAGTAAAATCATTAAGATGAATTCATTGACACAAATATAAAAGCTTTTGCGTAAAATTTAATTACATCCACCTACCCTGTGTGCACAATGCGCTAAATGTAATGCTTTTTATGCATATATGGACGGTTCAATGTAGACCAGAGAGACAAAGCTTACACACCTTTCACCTGAAATTATACCTTTTGCCTTTGCATAAATCTTTACATATAATTTAAGCCCGACTACGTCGTGGTAGGATGATTATTACATTTGCCCACTCGGTCGTGTGAAACGTAGAGATATTCTCATTTTAATGCCCGAGCTTATAAATCAGGATATGTTCATGTTCAACCGACCTGATTAAGAGGGCAGCCAGCAGTGATGATGAACTCAAAAACTATTTTTAAGCCCTACACGAACTCACACACACACACACACATTCCGTTTGCCGACATTCGCATTTTACAGCCATTCCGATCTAAAATAGATTTGAAAGCAGAATGAAACGCAAAAATACGATACGATACATAAATAATATAGCAAACTGTATGTGTGTGTCTGTGTATTCAGCCCATGTAATGCAATGGTGGCGATGGTGGTGGCAGAGGTGTTGGTTGTTATAAACACTGAAATATTACTGTTTCCAGCCAGATTTTCGGCATTCTCATCCGATTGGAGCGCGCTCGATTTTGCGGCGATGTTTTCAATTATGTATGGTGACATTTAAGACATTTTGACAGTCTGAAACTATTTCGGCAAACCGTACGGTTGATTCTTATTTCTTTTTATTTTGCTATATTTTTATCTCCTCCGAAGTTTGTACCGCAAATGGATTGGAATGAATTGAAACAAAATGAAATTGATTCTATAAGTTTGCGATATCTTATATATATATATTGATACAGGATCTTATTTTCCAAACTCGTATCATATGTTGGATTGTGAAAAAGAAAGTTGGAGCAGGAAAAAAGCATTATAAAACGACCAATAGACAAAAGTTTAACTTGATTTTTAGCCATTAAAAAAGGTTTCGTTAAAATGTGAGAACCAAAAATAGATAAATCCTGAGTACGTGACACATATATACACGCTCCAACAAATTTTGACCATTCGCCGTGTTGAATGAATGGCATTTTGAGTTTTATGGGAGTTTCAATTAATATTTAATTTGCTGAATCAACAAAAGATTGAATGACAACTCAAAATATTTATTTTCCATTGCGCGCACGCGGAAGCGCATGCATTTTTAAAAAGATGAACGATTTTGCCAGCGATAAAATTGTGTGCTCCTGTGCTAAAAATAGACACACTAAATTCATCGAGAGTGCATTGTTAATGCCATTCGTTCGTGTTGATGTGGAAAAAGCTATGGTAACAGATGATTCATTGGATAATGTGTATATATGGGATTTGTGATGTAATGGGTTTGTTCAGCGAGAGAGATAGAGAGAGAGAGAAGTGGGCAACGTGGACCGACTGCAAATGGCAAACCGCTGGTATAATTAAACTGACATTGCTTAAAATCCAACAGATAAATTCGACTATCAAGTGCCAGTTCAATTTTTACAGATCATATGCTCCGAGTGCACATAGCGCAAAAATATATAAACAACTTATTGCTTAATATTATGGCACAGATAAAGTGGATAGAGAGAGAGAGAGAGAGAGAGAGAGAGATAATGGAAGGGGAGGAGAGGGAGAATACTTCCCATGGAGGATTTCCTGGCCGTATGAAATAATTTAATTTTCGACGACACTCATTGTTGTTGCTTACTGCCATCATGCTTTTTTTCTCCACTCTCTCACACTCGCTCACTCGTTTGCTACACTTTTCCAAAAAATTTGACGGAGTCGAAATAAATTGCTTTTCATCCGCGACAAATATTTCAGGCTTCTCATTTTTTTTTGTCGTGCATTAAAACCATCCATTGTAATTAACATGCCCTATATTTTTCGTTTATTTCCTCAACAAACTCATGCTCGCATACACACACACATACTCAATTTATGTTGGGGTTGGTTTTTTTCTCTCCCTCGTTGTAAAAGTAACTACGAAAAGTTTGACGTAGTTTCAGTTCGGTTTTTGCCTGCAAATCAGTCATACGGTCTGATGACTATGACAACAACGTGTATATGATGGATAAAAATCGAA